ACATCGCAGTCGAGCCATGGATTCGCCCGCCCACCGGGCCGGGCAATTCGGGTCTCCGCGCGGACCTCAGATGCACCGACAGTGACGGCCATACTGCAGTGGGCTTATCTGGACTTAACGATCGTGCATCCCGCCTCGCAGCAGAGCCTGCAGGCCGGCGGGGCCCACACCCAAGGCACCGCTGCGAGACTGGCCGAACAGGCCAAGCGCCGCAAATACAACGGAGCCCCTGGTTTCCAACCCCTCGGCTTCGAAGTGTCGGGAGCCATGGGCGAGTCCACCCGGAAATGGCTCGCGCAGCAAGTGCCTGAGGGCCCTGGGCGACTGGAGATTCTCAGCACCCTCCACCGGTCCATCGCCACCTGCGTGGTCCGGGAGGTGGCGCGCACGCTCATCAGCGCTGCCTGAGGTGGTCGTCGGGCCAGCCAGCGCGCCTAACGCAGGGGTCCGGTGGCTCACACCCCTGGGCCTGGAACCGGCGGCCTCGCACGACGACAGCACCAGCGCGAGAACAGCGCTGCTACGGGAGGACGCACGAGGACAGCACGAGGACAGCACAGGCGCGAGGACAGCACGAGGACAGCACGAGGACAGCACGAGGACAACACTAGCACGAGGAGGGGAAGGGGCGCCGAGGAGGCGCGCCGAGGAGGAGAGGCGAGGCCGAGGAGGAGGAACGCCGAGGAGGAGCGCCGAGGAGGAGCGGCGGAAGTGGAGGAGGGGGAGGCCAAAGAGGAGCGCCGAGGAGGAGCGCCAAAGAGGAGCGGCGAGAGCGGGCGGCGGTGGTGGCGGCCGGAAGCGGCGGCGGGGCGGCTCCAGAGGCGGCGGCGGACGGACCGGGGGCGAAGGGGGGAGCGGCGCCCGGCCCCGCGGCGGCGGGCGCGGGCGCGGGCGCGGGCGCGGGCGCGTGCGGGCGCGCGCGGCGCGGCCCGTGGCGAGCGCGGCCCGCCCCTGGGCCCTCCTCGGACCCGAGGGCCCTGGGGCACAGAGGAGGAGGAGGGAGGAGGAGGAGGAGGAGGAGGAGGAGGAGGAGAGGAGGAGGGGGAGGGGGAGGAGGAGGAGGAGGAGGAGGAGGAGGAGGAGGAGGAGGAGGAGGAGGAGGAGGAGGAGGAGGGGGAGGAGGAGGAGGGGGGGAGGAGGAGGAGGGAGGAGGAGGAGGAGGAGGAGGAGGCGGGGGAGGGGAGAGGAGGAGGAGAGGAGGAGGAGGAGGAGGAGGAGGAGGACGAGGAGGAGGGCAAGGAGGCAGATGAGGAGGAGGAGCGTCGACGAGGGCGTGGGAGGGGTATAAGGAGCGGGGAGGGGGAAGCACGGCGGGAGGGCATCCCATCGCAAGGCCGCGATGGGGAAGCCCAGGAGCTGCGCGCACGCGAAGACGGCGACGATCGCGGCGGACGTCTTGGCGGACGTCGGCCAGGGCGAAGAAACCGACCCCTCATAGCGCTGGGCGCTTACGGGGAAACGCAGGCGCCCCCTGCGCGTTCCTGTCCTTCTCGCCGTCGCTCCGCTCACGGATCCGCGAGCGCAGCGACGGCGAGAAGGACAGGGCGAGGGGAGATCCAGCGTTTCCACGCAGGCGCCAATCAACCTGGACGAACGCGACTTCCAGGGCGAAAACGGCGAGGGCGTGGAGTGGGAGAGGGGGAGGGGAGAGGGGGGGATCGAGGATCCTCAGGAGCAGGAAGAAAGAAGAGGATGAGGAGGAGGAAGACGAGGAAGATGACGATCCCCCCAGGTCCTGCACAGCCAGTGGACGGACACCTGGCCGCTCATGGAAGGCGATCGGGAGGGCGAGGAGCAGGATAAGGACGAGGACAAGGGCGAGGGCGACGATGACGACGGCGACGATGATGACGATGCAGACGACGAGGATAATGACAATGATGCTAAAGTCGGCCATGACGATGATGACGACTACGACGTCGATAGTGCTGATGACGATGAGGATGATGGCGCGAATGATGATGATGATGATGATGATGATGATGATGATGATGATGATGATGGTTCTGATGAGGATGAGGATGGTGGCTAGTATGGTGATGATGATGCTGCTGCTGATGATGGTGGCGATGCAAATGGCGATAGCGATGCTATGACGATGACGATTGTGATGATCTGGTGGTGGTGACTGGGTTGGGACGGTGACGATGCTGATGCTGAATCTGGCGATGCTGATGATGGCGGTGGTGATGACGATGACGTTGGTGAGGATGACAATGACGATGATGCTGATGACGATGACGACGATGAGGGTGAGAGAAGGGCTAGAGGATGACAAGGAGAAGGAGGGTGAGAGATAAGGATCCCTCGAGGAGGGTGAGGATGGTGAGAGGAGGGTGAGAGGAGGACAAGGACAAAGATGGTAAGAGAGAAGGATCGGGTGAGGGGAGGGTGAGAGGAGGGTGAGAGGAGGATGGCCCTCGGCTTGGCGTCAGGATGAGCCTCGGGATCGAGGCTCGGGATGAGCGCCTCGGGATCGAGGCTCGGGATCGAGCCTCGGGATGAGCCTCGGGCCGGATGAGCCTCGTGATGAGACCGCATCTGAGCCTCGGAGCCTCGGGATGAGCCTCGGGATGAGCCTCGGGGTGAACATCGGGATGAGACCGCATCTGGGCCTCGGGATGGGCCTCGGGATGAGCCTCGGGCCCGATCATCGGGATGAGACCGCATCTGAGCCTCGGGATCCATGAGCCTCGGGATGAGCCTCGGGGCGGACCCACAGCTGAGCCTCGGGATGAACCCACAGCTGAGCCTCGGGATCTCATCGATGAGGCTCGGGATGAGCCTCGGGATGGACCCACATCTGAGCCTCGGGATGAGCCTCGGGATCCCTCGGGATGAGCCTCGGGATGAACCCGCAGCTGAGCCTCGGGATGAGCCTCGGGATGGGCCTCGATGAGGCTCGGGATGAGCCTCGGGATGAACCCACAACTGAGCCTCGGGATGAGCCTCGGGATGAGCCTCGGGGCCCATCGGTCCGTAGCCGTTTTGGCTCCAGCGCTACGTGCATGTAGCCTGCGGGCCAGCGGGTCATGGAGCGCAGCCAGGGCGACGGCGCGGGCGCGGCGCGCATGCCGCGTGCGGCGCCGCCGCGGCCGCGAGCTGCGGCGCCGCTCGAGCGCGGCGGAGACCGAGGAGCGCAGCGGAGGAAGAGGAGCGCGGCGGCGCAGGGCGGCGGAGGTCGAGACGCGCGGCGGAGGCTGAGGAGCGCGGTGGCGGCGATGTTCGCGGCGGCGCAGGCAGCGAGGAGCGCGGCGGAGGCACGGCCGAGCGCGGCGGCGCAGGCAGTGAGGGGCGCGGCGGTGGCGCAGCCGAGCGCGGCGGCGCGGGCCGAGGAGCGCATGGAGGCGCCAGCGGCGAAGCGGCGCCCCGCGGCCAAGCGGCGGGCCCGATCGGCGGCGGCCACAGCCGCGACGCCGAAGCCGCCGCGGGGGCCGCCGCCTGCGCGCCTGCTGGCCAGCGGCCGAGCGGCGGCCACAGCCGCGACGCCGAAGCCGCCGCGGGCCCCGCCGCCTGCACGCATGCTGGCGGCCGCCGCCAGCGGCCGATCGGCGGCCGCAGCCGCGACGCCCCAGCCGCCGCGTGAGCCGCCGCCTGCGAGCCTGGTGGCGCGCGCGCTGGCGGTCTCCAGCAAGGCTGCGGCGCCCGCAGCCGCGACGCCGCAGCCGCGTGTGGTGCCGCCGCGGCCGCGAGCAGCGGCCACGGTGCCGCTGGAGCCACGGCCGCCGCGGGCGGCGCCGCCGCCTGGCCTGCTGGCGGCCGCGCGCCGCAGGGGCGCCGCCTGCGGGGGCAAGGGCCTCGAGCAGGCGTGAGTTCTGGCCCGCGCACGGTGGAGGAGGAGGAGGAGAAAGAGGAGGAGGAGGAGGAGGAGGAGGAGGAGGAGGATGAGGAGGAGGAGGGGGAGGAGGAGGAGGAGGAGGAGGAGGAGGAGGATGAGGAGGAGGAGGAACACGGCGGCCCGCGGCGTGGCGCGAATGCAGGAAACCTCGAAGTGCAGTTCGGTTGCTCGCACAGGTCGCGGCAGAAACGCTTTGTAATGCGGGGGGGGATCCAGCAGGAATGGGAGGAAGTGGAGGAGGGTGATGACGAGGAGGAGGATGAGGGGGATGAGTGGCTCCCCTCTGCACCTGGAGGCGGCGCCGTGCCAGACATCACCTACAGCCCCCGCAAGTTCGGGGATCGCATCAAGCCAGAGGAGGTCGAGGCCGCCGCCTTGCCAGGGCGAGGATGGGGACGCGGAGGAAGATAAGGGCGTAGAGGGCGAGGACGACGCGTACGAGGATGAAGAGGACACGGCTGATGAGGGTGATGAGGATGAGGGTTCGGAAGACGGCAATAACGATCAGGATGAGGACGATGAGGACGACGAGGACCAGGATGAGGAGACTAGGGGAGGAGGAGAAGGAGGAGGAGGAGGAGAATGAGGACAATGAGGAGGATGAGGAGACTTGGGGCTCTGCAGAGGGCCCATTGGAAGAGGCATTGCGCGCTGCGTCTTCGCGCGCAGGGCGCTTCGCAGTCACGGCGGCGCCGTGTAGCGAGCTTGCCGAGGCCGCTGCCGGCGCCGACGAGGCCCGAGAAGCCATGCCCAACGAGCAAGCGCACCTTGGGAGGATAGCAGGGCGCAACAAGGAGCTTGTGCAGATGGAGCCACGCGTGAGAGATCTACGAGGAGGAGAACCCGCTCGAGGTGGACAAGCAGGCGGAGGAGATGGCCCCGTGCAGCATCCCGCTGGATCTGTGACAGAGCACGGTGGAGAGGGACATCGAGACGCCTCCGCGAAGGAGATGGACGCCAACGCGGAGTTCCTGCGCCGTGGGGGCCAGGTCAACCTCGCGGAGGAGAAGGCGGCCGCCCGCGCGCGCGCCGACTGGGTCACGCGCGTGGAGCTGGCCACCCTCGAGGCGAGCAGCGCGGGCCAGGAGAAGCGCCGCGCCTACATGGGCAGGGCAGCAGGCATGCGGGTTGCCGCGATGCGGTCGCGGCCGACGCCGGGAAGGACCCATGTGGCATGCGCGGCGGCGGAGCGCGGGCATTTGCGCAGCGCTGACAGCGAGGTACTTGACCCTTAGGCGCAGCAGGGCGGACAGTAGACAGCAGCTCAAGTGCATCAATCAGTTGAAGCAGGAGGCAAATACCATGAACGAGCTGAACCAACAGGGGGTGTTCGGCCACGAGATCGCAGAGTCAGAGCGCGCGAGGTGCTGCGAGGATATGGGCAACGTGGGGCTGATGACGGTGACGGACCTGCAGAGTTGCTTCGAGACGCTGGAGAGGCGCCGGGCGATTGCGCAGGCGAGGGGCACCACTTCGCAGCGACAACAATTTACGAGATGGCTCGTGGATGCGGTCATCGAAACCCGGGGCGCCGCATCGCCATGTCAAGGAGAAGACGGCACAGCGGTATGAAATGGCGGTGGTTGGCAGAAGGTCAAGCCTCGAGTCCACTCTCTGCCAGTGCGCGGGCCCAGACACGGTGATGGAATTTACGGCCACCCTGTGGGGGGGCACCTGGACCGACCCCGTCGACGAGCGCACGGACGTTATCGAGTATATCAGGCCCAGCTGCGTGGGGGGGCGAAGGATGAGGAGTTGCAGGAGATCGCGCTCGACCAGGTGTATTGCGGCATCAACGCGGCCAGCGACAGCAAGGCGATGGGTTTGGATTCAGTGGACTGGGACCTGCAGCAGTGCGTAGACTACCTCACAAGGAACGTGGCTGGTTTTTCAACATCATCCAGTATTGTTAGGCGCGCTCCACTCGGCCACGGCAGTGTTCAGTTACTCGGTGTGCATTTGCTTGGATTCCCAAGTGCGGCGACAGAGTCTTGGGAATGATACCACTTATACCGGAGGTGTGGAGCAAGGCAAGAGCGACCCTGAGTGAACCATGGTCCATGGAGTTGGTGGAACATTCGGATGCGGCGATCAAGGGGTCATCGGCGTTGAGAGCGGGCATCCTACCTGCGTGCTTGGGCGAGTCAGGTGTAGAGATAGGCGTCGCGTCACTCGCGCTCTCGTTGGACGTTGAGAAAGTATATCAGTCTGTTTCGTTGCTGATGTTGCTCAGGATAGCGCGGTGCGTGGGCTACCCAGCTGCATTGATTTCTGCGGAGGTACAGATGTCGCTGGCGCCGCGATCTTTCCAGGCAAGGGCAATCCTCGGCAGACGGATGCCACCGACCAGATCGATTGTAGCGGGGTCCCCGCGAGGAGTGGGGCTCGAGGATTCAATTGTTTATAACACCCTGTTTTTGATTTTGTGCATGAAAGGCTTCCAGCTATTAGTTTGTGGGCGTTTGTTGATGATGCCGCGTCCATCGCGGCGCGAAGGTACTTGCGCTTCGGTCGGGGAAGTTATGAGAAAGGCAGCCTTAGACTTGAAAAATGGCCTGGAGGATCAGCTTCTGGCGACCTCGCCCAAGACAGTGTTGATTGGCTCCGACCCGGCGGTCGCTGCGAAGATGCCGCGATGTCTGCGCGCACATGGTCCACCCGTGGTGGCCGCCAGCGCGGCAGTGGATCTCGGTCTCGCCACGGTGACAGGGCGGAAGAGGTCAGTTACCAAGGAAGCACAACGCATGAGGAATGCAATGGGAAGAGCTGGTAGGGTACGAGGATTACGAAGAGTGGGCGCACTGGCGAAGCTGTCGCGTGGGCTGTAGAATGCTGGAGCGGTCCCCCAGGCACTGCGCGGGCGCGCCATGATGGGCATGAGCAAACATGCGATGCTGCGTGTACGACGACAAGCTGGACACATGGTGGGAGGTAAGTCTCGTGGTCGATGATTAACTGCCACTCTCGGATGCGACGACGCGGTCCCCGACCCTGGAGTTGAGGCCCCGCTGCAGGTGGTGCGAGACTGGCTTTCTCTTTGGCGGCAACGCCCGGAAGTGCGTGATCGAGTGTGCTGATCTTGGGGCTCAATTCGTACGGGACTCAGGTTGTCGGCTACGAGACGGCGGGCGCGGATGGGGGGGGGGGGGGGGGCAGGTTTCGACGGTTCAAGCGACGTTGATGGACGTTGGCTGGGGCCCCATATCAGCTGCAACTTGGTTGGGCCCGACGGGACTGTATGACGAACCAGTGGACCAGTGGAAGTTACCTTGTGTGCGCGGTCGGTCCTTTTCGAGTACGACGTCCTTCCCGGAGCTGCCTGATAACGTGGCAGCGGATATCCGTGGGCATTTGTGGGCCGCTGCGAGCCTGCGCGCTGCTGGGCAGGACATGTTTGGTGGCGGTGACGCGTGCCAGGTGACGCGGGGCCAGCGGCGACTGGCGAAGGAGGGGCTGTCGGAACCCACCACCTGTCGCTGTTCAACGGTCGGGTCAGCCTTCCCGCCAGAGGCTCGGAGGAAGACTCTGGCGAGGTCTTCGACCTGGCCGCGAGATTTGCGCAACGCAACGCCGCTCGAGACAGCCGATATCCGCGCAGAGGGCGGAGGACAAAGTGCGAGAGATGCGTGCTTGGCGATTTTTCGGAAGGAAGTTTCAGCGGCGATGGCTGTGGAAGGAGGCGGGAAGCGAGTTGGGCATGAGCGAGCTGGAGGCGGCACTGCATGGGGACGGAAGAGACAGAAGGCCTCACCAGCTCTGCGGATCAGGCCCTCGAGGGGTGGGAGGGCTGCCCCCCTCCATGGCTGCCGAGTGCGAGGACGACGGAAGCAATGACCGTGCGTCCGAGGACCGCCTGGCTTTGGCTGGATCAGTCGCGCCGACGTGTATCGATCGGCAGGTCAGCGGGGAATGGAATTCAAGTCGATCAGGAGGATGGAGGAACGAAGTCGAGGAGAGAAGAGCCCTCGAGGAGGAGAAGGAGGAGCGAGGAGGACCAGGAAGGATGATCGAAAGATGATGGATGATGATGAATGCTGATACTGATGGCCACGATGATAATCCATGAGAGACGACGACATCGCTGGTCGATGTCACCGTTTGTACAGAGCGATGGGAGCGCGACGTGGAAAAGGGAACGCTGTTTCTCGACGCTTCCTCCTCATTTTTATTTGTCCTTTTCCACACCCTGTTCCGCATTTTTTTTTTACTTCTAGATTTTCCCCCTTTTTTATGTTTTCCCCTTTTCGCTCTTCCTCGTTTTATATTTTTTTTTGATTTTTTTATTCCCGTTTTCCTCGTCGATCTGATCGAGCCTTCTCTTCCTTCTCGACCCTTTTCCCGCTCCCCCTCCTCCTCGAGGCCCTCCTCTTCCTCCTCCTCCCATTGGGCCTTCAGGTCATTTCTCATGAGCTGGGATTACATCATGCTCTTCTCAATCCGATTGTCGGGGCCAAAGTAGTGGGGTCGGTTCTTGCTCTTTTCCCACAGCCTCGACGTGACAAGTTTCAACTGGGGTTGCTTTGCGCTTAGTTTGCTTCTTTACTTCAGTTCAAAATGGGTTTGGCCTGGGATTGTTAATCTCACTACGTTGGCCAGGACGATGACTGCCGTCCGATCACTGATAAAGTGTACCTCACACCCCTGTCTCCCCATCTCCTGGATCTCCATCTGTCGATTGTCTTGGTGTCCTGGTGCTTTTCTGTAGTCATTTTTGTTCAATCCGCCTTACCTCGTTTTGCTTCAACCTCTTCTCAAGTTATCTGGGAACACACTCTCATGCTTGCCCCTCAGAGGGTCGTCAGGCCATGGAATTCAAAATCTCTCCAGTGTTGTGTCTTCGAGGCATGGGCATCCGTCTGCTCACGTGCACTGGCAATTGAAAGTTCCGAGATCGTTCCTGTAACCCTGCGATCTTAGGGACACCGTGGCTTCGCAACAATCCTTTCCTCCCCTCAGGAAGCCTCTGAGTCCTTGGGCCTCGGCGTCTGTTCACCTCCCTTAGGCTTTGGAGGGATGGGCCCCTTCTCTCCACTTGACCCCTGTCGGCTCCTGCAGTCTCGGGCTCAAGCTTTCGGTATGTTACATCACACGGTTTCGGATCCTTACGTTATCTTTCAGGGGAATCTTTGCAGGTCTAACCGCAAAGTCTGCTTCCTATCTAAACGGGATCTTGAGGCACTTTCATACTGCTCCCCGCTACTATTCCGAAGGGTGGTCAAGTTGCCGGCTCGGCTTCTTATACCGACGGGCCTTGGTGGCCCTCATTTCACATATGACTGGTGCAAAATCCCATACTTCAAAGCTTGCCGGGACAGCGGCTATCATGGTCTGTATGTCAACGTTCGGGGTCCCGATGAGAGGGTTCGTAGAGTTCCTTGGACAGAATTTGTTGCGGGTCAGTAGCCGTTTTGCCTCAAATCCTTTCTGGAGCTCCTGTCTGGTACGGCTGGGAAACTTTCAACTCCAGTGGATGGCTAAACGCTGCCTTCCAGTCATGCTTGCTGCCAAGAAGCGTCTCAAGTGGTCCCATGGCTCGGGCGGAATGTGGAACTACTGCGAAGTAGACGAAGTCTACACGAAAGTGTGGAAAACGGAGTACTTTGACACGTGGATCGATCCCGATTCGGGCTGGCCTCACCCGGTTGTGTGGTACTTGTCCGATTACTGGTGGGATGGAGATTTCTTCGTGGAGAAGTGGCGGTGGAGGTATGGCTGAAGAGCACTCCTGGGACTTCCTTAGACTGGAATCTTCTGGTGTCCGTGGTGCGTGGGCCTGCGGCTTCTTGGAGGGCTCTCAGTCTTTCTCAGTCTTTCTTGCATGTATTTCTTATGTCCTGGGGATAGGGTCCTCAGACATTTCAGTTCAAACGTCGGCGGCTCGCCTACGATGGTGGTTTGCAAATACAAAAGGTTATAAACAATTCCAGCCACCTTGCGTTCTCCATATTAGTTTGAATTCATCCATATTACATATTCCTCGACAGGTCTGGCGTGGGTTCTCATGGTTGGGATCTCATTCAGCTTTGACCGTTCATCTTGCGTGCCTCCGTATCTTCTGGTTTCATTGCGTGATTGGGTCGTTCAGTTTATCATTCAGATTCTCTTTTAGTCATATATATCAGCCTTGATCATTACTCATGTTAAATGGGTTTCATGGGACTTAATGAAAGTTTCTTCACCTCTTACTTTAGACCTTGGGACCATGTGCTTTCAAAGTTGGGACCCAATTGTCACTCAAGATCTTGTTAGTCAAATTTGGGCATCCCTTTTCTTCTGTTTCTCTATCTTCATTCAACACAAGAGGAACCTAGTGGTGGGATTTATTTGGGATCTTGGACAGTCTTTCATTTATGTTTTCTTTCAGTATCCTGGGTTTCAATCCTGGGTTGGGCTTTACCTATTCTCCGCTTCTTTTCTTTCCTGCTTCTTCGCCTTCTTTCTCTCTCTACCTTACGCATTTGGCGTATTGGTGGCTTCTCAGGTTTGTGTTATGGGAGGACCGACCTTTCAAGGCGCTTCATCATCATCATCATCATCCTCTTCCTCCTCCTCCCGCTCTCCCTCCCCTCCCTCCCGGCCCTCCCTCCTCCCCCTCTGCATTCCTCTCCCTTGCCATCGCTTGCCCCCACTTGCTTGTCTTCCCTCCCCTCGCCCCCCCCGATCGTCCCCCCCCCTCCCCGCCTCCTTCCCCCCCTCCCGCCCTCTTTCGGCGGCGCGCAGAGAGGGGGTGCCCTGAGTATCTCAATAGTTTCGGGGTGATCAATCGTCTGGGGGGGGGGCATTGTAGTCCGGGGGGGTCCTTGTAGTCCCAGGCGAGGTTCCTGTAGTCCAGGGGGGCCCTTGTAGCCTGGGGAAGGGGGGGCCCTTGCACTCCGGGGGGGCCCTTGCGGTCCGGGGACCCAATACTATTGAGGTACTCGGAGTAGGGGGAGGGAGAAGGCTTCGTAGAAACACCTTTGCGTCCCTGCGCGGGTCTTGCTGTAGATGTCAGGCCAGCGTTTTCTAAGGAGCAGCCTCTTCCCAGGAACGCCTTCTCTCTCTCTCTCTCCCCCCGCCCCCTGTATGCACGCAGCCAGCTGCTTTTCCTCCCGAGCCCCTCCCCCCCCCCGCCGTCCCGTCCACCCCGCCCCCCGTCGTCCCCCGACGTACGACGACGACGACGACGACGCGACGACGACGAGGACGACGACGACGACGAGACGGACGACGACGACGAGACGACGACGACGACGACGACGACGACGACGACGACGACGACGACGACGACGACGACGACGACGACGACGACGACGACGACGACGACGACGACGACGACCCCCCTCCCCCGTCGTCGTCCCCCTCCTCGTTCCCCTCGTCGTCCCCCTCGTCCTCCCTCCTGTCGCCCCCCTCGCCTCTCCCTCCACGACTGTCCGAGGTAAGGTCCCTCGTCGTCCCCCTCGTCCTCCTTCCCCCTCCTTCCTGTCGTCCCCTTCGTCCTCCCTCCCCCTCTCTCCTGTTGTCCCCCTCGCCTCTCCCTCGTCGTGTCGCGGGCCCCTCCGCCCATCATCCCCCCGTCCTGGGGGCCGACGTCTTGTCCCGGGTGCCCTCCAGAGGCCAGGAGGAGGAGTTGGAGGAGGAGGAGGAGGAGGGGAGGAGGAGGAGGAGGAGGAGGGAGGAGGAGGAGGAGGAGGAGGAGGAGGAGGAGGAGGGGTGAGGAGGAGGGGAGGAGGAGGAGGAGGAGGGAGGGGGGAGGGAGGAGGAGGAGAGGAGGAGGAGGAGGAGGAAGAGGAGGAGGAGGAGGAGGGAGGGAGGAGGAGGAAGAGGAGAGGAGGAGGGGAGAGGAGGAGGAGGAGGAGGAGGGACGAGGACGAGGACGAGGACGAGGACGAGGACGAGGAGGAGGAGGAGGAGGAGGAGGAGGAGGAGGAGGAGGAGGAGGAGGAGGAGGAGGAGGAGGAGGAGGAGGAGGAGGAGGAGGGGGGAGGGGGAGGGAGAGGGGGAGGGGGAGGGGGGAGGGGGAGGGGGGAGGGGGAGGGGGAGGGGTGGAAGGGGGAGGGGGCGGAGGAAGTGAGGAGAGGGAGGAGGAGGAGGAGGAGGAGGAGGAGGAGGAGGAGGAGGAGGAGGAGGAGGAGGAGGAGGAGTAGGAGGAGGAGGAGGATGAGGAGGAGGAGGAGGAGGAGGAGGAGGAGGAGGAGGGAGGAGGAGGAGGAGGGAGGAGGAGGAGGAGGAGGAGGAGGAGGAGGAGGAGGAGGAGGAGGAGGAGGGGGAGGGGGAGGAGGAGGAGGAGGAGGAGGAGGAGGAGGAGATGAGGAGGAGGAGGAGGAGGAGGGAAGGAGGAGGAGGAGGAGGAGGAGGAGGAGGGAGGAGGAGGAGGAGGAGTGAGGAGGAGGAGGGAGGAGGAGGAGGAGAGGAGGAGGAGGAGAGGAGGAGGGGGGAGGAGGAGGAGGAGGAGGGAGGAAGGAGGAGGAGGAGGAGGAGGAGGAGGAGGGAGGAGGGGACGGAGGAGGAGGAGGAGGAGGAGGAGGAGGAGGAGGAGAGGAGGAGGAGGAGGAGGGGGAGGAGAGGAGGGGGGAGGAGGGAGGAGGAGGAGGAGGAGGAGGAGGAGGAGGGGAGGAGGAGGAGGAGGAGGAGGAGGACCTGAGAAGGCCGCAGAGAAGCCCAAGCTACGCCCAGAACTTCAGCGAGAGCACGACCTCAATCAAGCAGGAGTGCAAGCTCGCAAGGCGTCCGAAGCACTTGACCGAGCAGTTCGATATGAAGCAGAATGTCGAGACTACTTGGCCCAAGCCACCAGAGACATGGAAGAGAAAGCGAAGGTTGCAGCAGAAACGGCAGCCAAACATCAACAGCTACTCCAAGCTAACGTGGACCCGAAGGTGCTCCAGCCTGTGTCGGCCCCGATCAACCTCTCCCAGTTGCTCAGCGCGAAGGAAGAGTCGGAGCTGCAGGAGGTTCTCAAGTTCGAGGATGGAGCGTGCTTTGACACCAGCGACTTGGAGTTATCGGAAGAAGAACTTCGACAATGGAAAGAACACAAAGAAGCTCTGGCAAAAGAAGTCTCAAAACTCATCATCACGGCGGTGGGTCCATCGGCAAAGTCTTTGCTGGAGCGGAAAGAACAATTCGAAGCTTACAAAGCAAGAATGGCAGGTAAACGGCGGCGAACTGGTGAAGCAGGTGCAGCCCGTGCAGGCGGCGGTGAGGGCATGGCGGAAGCCCCCGCCCAGGAGACATCGGCGGCAGCAGCGTCCCAGGCATCGGCGGCACGTGACGGCGGCGGCGGAACTACGGCATCGGCGGGGGCGGCGGACTCGAAGGCGGCTTCTGAAGCAGCTAAACCCGCAGTCTCTGAGGACCAGGTGCAAAAGATCTTGGAAGCAGCCAAAGCCAAGTTCGAGCAAGAGAAGCAACAGCAGCTTTAGCAGCCGTGGACATCGTCGGCGGCAGAAACCAGATGCACCAGATGCTCAGCAACGTGGCGGCGCTGAGCATTTTTCTTTTTACTTCGCCAACTATGCGAAGTGGAATGATCGAGCACGATGTTATTTAGCAGCAGAACATATGCAAGATGTCCTGTTCCATATGGGTGCCGAAACTCATCTTCGTGGCGGATCCCTTCTCCAGGAACAGAAAAAGCTCAAAAAAGCGGGGTGGTTATCCACCTCCTCGCCTGCGGTCCCGACGGCCACGGAAGGCGCACTGGGGCACGGAGGAGTCTGGGTCCTAGCTAGGACCACCATCCATTCCCAGGTGAGTTACCCATGCAGAGTAGGACCTGATGGGCAAGCTCAGTTTTTTGGCACCCAATGGGTAGGAAGGAATGTCAGGTTCAAGGGCCTGGAGATCACGTTTGTAGCAGTTTATTTGAATGACTCCGAGGGGGTTGTCGGCACCAACGGCCTCATTCTAGAAGAACTCGCAGGTTATCTACTCACCGTAGCTAAGCACTACATAGTAATGGCGGACTGGAACATGACCCCGAAGGACCTCTGGGACTCAGGATGGCCATCTTTCGTCAGGGGCAGCATCGTCACGCCACCGGGAGAGTTTACCAATGCTGGAGGCTCTGGAAGGGTTCTGGACTTTGGAGTCGTCTCGGAGCACCTCACTTCCCTGGTTACGCTGGCTCTGGACTTTCAGGGACCTTGGGCACCACACTTGGGAGTTTTTGGGAAGCTAGATCTGTCTCAGGAAGCTCTAGAAGGCCGTGTTATGGTGCCCGTCACGCCCATACTCAACCACGCGTTTGGACCAGATCTGCCGTGGGAACATTTTCAGCAGGAAGCAGGTGCTGTCGAGGCACCACGAGACTACTATGTGTGGGAGGAAGCTACCTCCGACAGCCTCAGCCGCATGTACGCCAACTTCTCCATGCAGGCAGAGGCCTTTTTGCTAAATCGCTCAGGACGGGAACCCAGCCCACACAAGCGAGGGATGTGCCCAGAAGTAACTGTGAAAAATCTTACCGCTGTAAAACCGCCTGGACATTTTGGTAGATCTGAAGAGGTCTGTTTCTGGGGAGGTATTCGGTCGAGGTTCCAGGAGCTGTACATTTTGGCTGGCAAAACTGGCACAAGTACGGTATCTACACAGCGCACATCCATAGTACATCAGCTTGGCATGTGGGGCAAGAGCACGCACACACCGCAATACATCACAGCAGTGCCTGAATCAGCTAGGCTCGCAGGTGACAAGATCCTCGCAGCTTTGACATCGCCTCCTTGTAGCAAGGAGGACATCCGCGAAGTTTTGAATGCAGCCAAGGAGGTCTTGGCTAAGGTATCCATCGCCGCAATGAAGGAGAAAAATATAGGTTTTCGGAAGTTTCTCAGCCAGAGTCTCAGTTCAGGGGCAAGTTGGGCACACAGGTTTTCCAGGACATGGCAGGTGGAGGAGCCCAGTTTAGCTGTCGAACGAGATGAGGGAGGAGCCGAAATCCTGAAACCCCTGGAGATGATGAAGGTGAAGGCGGACAGGTGGGCAAAGTTATGGGGAGGAGATGTAGGAGGACCAAAACAACCTTTTCCTTTTTGGCTACGAAGTCTCCGAGACGCAGCGCGAGCTCAACAGGTTGAGCAACCTCTTCCAGAGCTCACGCTCCCAGACTTGCAGCAGAGTTTGCGATATTTCAAGTACCACGCAGGCCTGGGAGCAGACCCGTGGAACCCTAGGCAGTGGCTTATGCTTCCTGAAGTAGGACAGGAGCAGTTGCTTGAGTTTTTCGGCGAGGTTGAGGCGCAGTTGAGTTGGCCAGTACAGAGCTTAGTCAATGTCGTTGCCTTGACACCCAAGCCACCGCCAGGGGGAGACCGACCAATTACTCTAACGCCAGGGCCATATCGAGTTTGGAGTGTTCTAAGAAAGCAAGCTGTTCAAACTTGGGAGCGTAGCAAAGCAGGTTTTTGGGACGCAGCAGTGAAAGGTAGCAGCCCACTTCGAGCAGCAGTGCTAAGACAATTAAAAGCAGAAGCATGTGGCATATTAAATATTAGTTGGGTTCAGCTTCTTTGGGACGCGGAGAAGTTTTATGACCTTATCCAGGGACAGATCTTAGCAGGCTTAGCAGTGGACTTGGACTACCCGTTAGTGCCCTTTTATCTCGCCATGTTGCAACACATGGCGGACCGATGGATGGCAGTAGGCTCGCTCCTATCGGACAGTGTACAAGCCGCGCATTCCATCATCGCAGGATGCATGCAGAGCGTTGCCTGGTCTAGGATTTATCTGTGGGATATGCTCGACAACATACATAGGTCACATCCACCTCCTCGTAATTCCATCGGCAGTTGGGTAGACGACCTCGCTCAGTTTAATGTGGGCACAGCTCGTGGAGTGATAGACCAGGCTACGGAAGTTGCTATCAAGCTGACCACCAGCATGACCAGCAAAGGATTACGAATTTCAAAAAAGTCAGTTGGTCTGGCAAGCTCTCCTTCAGTTCGCAGTGAGTTGAAGAAAAGAGTGAAGCAGCTGGGCCTACCGATCAGAGTTGAACTGTCTGCTCGAGATTTGGGTGTTGATGTATCTACTGCCAACAGGACGCAAGGGACCATCAAAACAAGACACCAAAAAGCCGCTAGGGGAGCCACGGCCATCCGAGTCTTGGGGAAGAGTGTGAAAGCTTCCAAAAAGCTGGCCAACACTGGCCACAAACCGCAGGTGTCCTGGGGAGCCGTGGCGGTGGGCCTTGCGCCCACCAATCTACGAAAGCTGAGGGCCCAGGTTTCATCCATGTGTGGAAGCAAGTGGGCTGGAGGCTGTGCGACCACGGCCATTAGGATTAGTTTAGGAAAACGAAGTGACCCTCTTTTCTGGGGACCTTTGGAGCTCTTGCAGGCCTGGCAGGACCACCTCCCAAGGATCCCTGAGTGGCGCGCTGCCATCGACAAGGCCTGGCAGGAGTCCCTGCCCAAGCTGCGCGACTCGGAGAACCGCTGGCTCCTGGTCAAAGGTCATATGGCAGCTGTACAGGCCACTCTTTTAGATATGAATTGGACCCCAAACACCCCAGGGGAATGGACCATCCCATGCGGGGAAAAGTTTAGTTTTGAAGGTGTTGACGGCCTAGACAGGCTGGATTTTGAAGTAGGGTCTTCACTGGAGCAGAATTTGTGGGCCCAAGCCAGTAAACATTTCTCGGGCTCGGGGGTGGAGTACGGGGTGGATTTAACTGTGACTTGGGCCCATCTCAAGAGATTAAGAAATAAAGGTTTAGATCACATGGCTGCCATACTTGAAATGGTCAGCCAAGGGGCCTTGTGGCCCAATCAGCGTCGTTTTGAAAACACTGGAGTAGGCACGACAGTGTGCCCTAGATGCGGTGCCGCAAGTGAGACTTTATACCACCAACTTTGGGAATGCCCCTGCAATAGAGACATTCCCGATTTCGAAGAAGATCGGCATCTCTGTGAGCAAGCGAAGATAGGTGCAGAAACTTATCCTTGCTTCTGGCTAAGAGGTTTAGTTCCCATTTTATGGACGATGCCCCCAGCGGACACCCCTCTACCAGAAGAAAGTACAGTGCGAGAGGGAGAGTGGCCCGAGGAGGGACGTTTTCCACTTCCAGTAGGATGTGTAATAGGCGGTGACGGCTCGGGGGGAGAACACGGACAGGATCCTCGTTTGCGCCGTGTTGGTTGGGCCTTCGCCATCTGCTCTGGGGAAACGGTCCTGGCCTCTTTAAGAGGCACGATGGCTGGCTGGCGCCAGACAGTACCCCGAGCCGAGCTGCTAGCAGTAATTAGAGCCCTTGAAACCACTTCAGGGGACGGCACTTATGTAGTTGACGCTTCCTATGTATATAAGGGAGCCCAGCACGGACCCCAACACAAGTATAGAAGTAATGCTGACCTCTGGGCCCAATATTGGCAGGCAGTACACTCTCGTGTAGGAGAGCTAAGACTCGTCAAGGTGAAAAGTCACCAAGACAGATCTGCTGTGGGCCCAGGTTTTCCCTTGGAATTTTGGTTTGCGAATGACCAGGCCGACAAGTTGGCCGAGAAAGCCGCCCAGGAAGCTGGACCCCCTTTCAGCCTTGTCGGGCAAGTGCAGGAGGCCGACAAGTTGGCCTGGCGAGTTCAAAAGCATTTAGTTGCGGTAACCCTCGAAGTTGCTAAGAATGCTAAGGATTTCTACGGGACCACTCTTAAAGGAGATGTCCACGCTCGTGCTGTTGCCAAGGCTAAAGCCAAGGCGCAAGCCACCCCTCAGCTCTTGAGGGAATCTGAGCACAAGATTTTCAGAAACTCCAAGGGCTGGAAATGTGCGGTCTGCCTGGACCAAGTCGGGGTCCGAGCTTTGGAAGAGTTCTCGACCTCATTGTGCCCTGGCAGGCCGTTCCTGATTGATATCTCGCACAGGATCGAGAATTTCCGTGGTCTCTGGTTCTGCCGCCTGTGCGGAGCACAGGGGGTGGAGAAATTCGTGCGGTTGGCCAAAAAGTGTGACCGACGGTTGAGCAAGGATGGAGTCGCCACCTTGAAGGCGATCGACAACG